TGTGGTGGGCTTGTCCCAAAAAATAAATCTTCCATACTAGAAACTGTTAAATGAGCTCAAATGTCAATTTTATTCTATTCAAGGGCAGCTGGCATTTAGCCGAGTCATCCCAAAAATGGGAGCAGTACTCCATACACGACTGAACTTGTGCTTGGTAAAGAGTAAGCAACTGCTCCGGTGTGAAGTATCGTCTCACCCTCTACAGAACACCCAACTTTCTACCAGACAATTGCGCCTTTGCCTCAATATACGGGCCAAAGTTGAGGGTGGGCGTCAGTGTTACGCTGAGAAGCTCGAGATGGTCAGCTATCGGAACGGACTCATTTCGGAAAGTAGGAGCCAGTGGGAACCGACTCCGTTTTGCGGAGAATAGACATGCTTGGGTTTTATTGGCATTGAACCTGACAAAGTTGGCTTCACCCCAATCGGAAACCGCCTGCAAGGACAAGTTCAAGCGTTCTACCATGGACTCTCTTAAAGAATGGATTTGAGTTTCACTGGTTCGCGTTTCGGATACATACCTCTCAACAATAGTACTGTCATCTGCATACCCAAAGGTACCGGGCTTAAGCAAGTCATTGACGTGCAGCAAAAAAGGGGTTGCTGAGAGTACTGACCCCTGAGGAACCCCGGATGGTCCCCAGTAGATCAATTTCGGCAAAATCCGTATTGCAGATCACTAAGGAGATCGTTACCTTCAAGGTATTTTTTTTAAGGGTGGAAAATCATCCAATGACTGCTCCCGTCTTAGTGTCAGACTCTTACTGTCTCAAAACCACCCCGTTCCTTCTCCTGCACTTCGAGCCGGAGCTCCTGTTACCTGTTAGGTTCTCCGCGACTCCGAATCGGCATCGACCCTGTTGGGCCCCATCTGTGGTGGTCTGATAGCTCTTTGAGGCGCGCGCGGAACGCGACGCGCCGTACGCTCGGGTCTGTTTCTGGTCGGACGGGGAGCCACCCATGCTCGCCGTCCGCAGGGCCGCGCTCACGGTGGCCGGAGATCGTCCCGCGATCCTCGACGCCCAGTGTGTCCTTCGCGAGGGCTGGGTTGCGAGGAGGCTGCGCTTCGCTGCCACACACGCGTCCCGCCTCCTCCTTAGCTAGCATGACTGCTTCGCAAAAGGAGGATACGGCATCCCAGTCCCCCTCGCTCCGCATCATGGCCTGCACTAGGCCCGGACGCGAGAAGTCGCCAACGCCGATCACTTCCCTGAGGGCACGGCGGTGCTCAGCCCACGCAGGGCATTCCGCTATAGTGTGTTCCACCGTGACCTCAGGGCGGACCTCGCAGTGATGACACCCGGGCGTTTCCTCCGACCCCATCAGACACAGGTACCTCCCGAAACATCCATGTTCGGTGAGGACCTGCGTCAGGCGGCACCCGATTCGCGCATAGGGATGATTTTAATTTAAGGGTACTCCTACGGATGGGAGTAACTCAGCCTTCAAAAATTATCATTTTATTTAAGACTATCTTCACTAGATGATTTATTCAAAGACAGTATGGAAGAATTGTCAAATATGCAAAGTTAAAATTTATCTGGTATTGGAAAAATCGGCCCTATGTCTATGCCTGACATACTTAACTAAATAGAATTTTGACCGAAACTCCAGACACTTAATGTCAAACACAATTGGGAGATTGAGATCAGTAACTAGTTCCAACCAAGTGACCATAGTCGCCATCATAGTCATTATCAATGTCAACAGCCTGTAAGAGCCCACTCCTGAGCAATGGCCTCTTCTCACATAAATAAAGTATAAGCATTAATCACCGCACTTATTCAATTGGATTGGCGATTTTAGACTTAAATTGCGGATCTTAGACCTCCTCATCATTAAAAATAATTATGACCCCGAATAATGAAGTAAAAACGCGGGTTACTCACGTGAATATACTGAGAAAAGCTCTATTAGCTTCGAACCACAGAGGGGTTCTTTCTCATGAGCAGCGTGCGCGGTCGCGGCGACACGTCGCGCAGCTTCTCAGTATATTCACGTGAATAACCCGCGTTTTTACTTAATTTAGAATGTCTCACGATAGTTATTATAAAAACACCCCAAATAATCTTGCAAATTATGAGATTTGTTACCAAATTCAACCTTATGTGGTGGATCATCTTAAATAGACATTATTATCTTTTAATGCTTACCACAGCCATGATCTCATCCAGTCTTTTTGTTCTCAAGTATATGGTTTTGAAATAAATCAATAAATACACATACAGCACAATAACTACTGCCACCAGTAATGCTTTCATCTTGGAAGATGAGAGGCTGATCATCTTGCCCTGCAACATTACAATCAATAAAAGATAAATTATATTTATTCCTGCAAATAAGTACACAGCAGCAAACAAAGTCACAAAGCCAATCTTTAAATTACTAGATGAGGGCCGGCAGTTCCTAACTGACTACTCTAAGAAGAAACGTCAAACAAACTCAGAGGTCATTGTCTCTTTAGTCAACACAGATTGTAATATAATGTGCAAGAATAGTGCCAGTTGATTCAGTAGTTGTCTTGTCACAAAATATCCACAACAGTTTAAACAGACCTGTTTTGATGGCAGCATGCATGTTCCAAATGTTGCTGAATGATCTCACAAACAATATCGTCCATAAGAACTTAGGGGTAGTTCGCACAAATTATCAAACCGTCAGAATGTAATTAATTAAGTAAAAGTGAAATAACTAGGCAAAATCTCACACGGTCCTTTCACTAACAATTTATAAAAGAAAATTAAAACATATACCAACATAAGAAAAAAAAATGATATGAAAAACAAAGTCAAATAATATAAGTATACTGATGTCAAATTGTATGAAATCACAGTATTATAGTCAGCAGCAGTCATGTTACAAATACTTCCAGTATATTAAACTATAATATTGGGATGTGCGGGCACAAAGATCGGAATTGTCTGCCTTGTGTGCTAAAAGACAGGAATGTGGGTGTTATATTAAATATCTACAAGTCTGTCTTATATTACGGGGAACTTGATGGTTGTTTATGAATACTTGTACAAGTTATACTTACTGGTTTTACCAGAACTTCCGGCACATCCGCCACGAATCGGGACATTCAGGCTAATGTATTTGGTATATTCTACACTGAGTCGCTACTGTAGCTTCGTACGTAAGTTTACTACTACCTAAAGCTAAAAATAAACAATTAGGAATAATTAGGAAATTGTAGGCTTGTTTATAAAATGTTTGAAACGCGGTAATGTAACGCTAAAACATTAAATAAATCCGAGCACAAATTTAGAAATAGGTAACCAATTGATCCATATATTATTACTAGCTTCTGATCGAGACTTCGTACGCGCAATCCCGTTTTCTCCTGTTGCCGTAGGATTTTCAGTACCTCTTTCTGTCATAAGAACCTTCTCCTGACAATAATAAACACAACAATAAAAAATCAGTCAAATCGGTCGAGCCGTTCTCAAGTTATGCCGTGACAACGGGAAACGGGATTCATTTTTATCTAATTATAGAAATAATAAGAATAATTAGATAGATAGATATAGAAAATACGTAGGTACCTACGTAATGTTTATACATATAAAAATTATGTTTTATAACTGCAATTCTACAAAGTAGCAAAAGCTGGAAAACTGGAAGGAAACTACCTACTCAACTCCAATTTGATCAATCATCAATCATGAAAACCGCTTTAATATTTAGAATACATTATTTATTATGTACTTTTTGACCGCTGTCAAACAATTCTATTGTCAAAACCAAAACTTTAAAGTCAGAGACACTTCTTCTATGCCATAAAAACCACAACACATAAATAGGCAAATTTACTTTCAAATAGAATAAAATTCCTTCAACACCAAATACGCCGTCAATTATTAATACAAAAATAATAATATATTAATACCCTTTGATACCGTGCCGCAAAGAGTATAATAAGTATAGGGGAACCGTGCCGTCTCAATAACTTCCGAGTTCCCGCCATCTTGACTTTTTCATAATTTTTTGAACCACAGAATCCAGACGATATTTTTACGCGATGACGTTAAGTTTTTTTGTCATCTAACAAAAGATAAAATAGTTATTTCTTTTTTAAGTCGGTTAAAGTTAAAAACAAGGATGTTATAACCGATTGTTTGATTTTAACGTCCTTGGTTAAAAATCAGATGAGTTTCACCTAAACTCTATGGTTTCACTTGTTTCGTTTCAATGACAAACTCCATTGTTTCACTGTATCAATAACCAAAGAGTATAATAAGTATAGGGGTTTCAATAACTTTGACATTTGTCAAATGACATTTACAGACAACATGAGAGCAATTTAGCAAATTACTTTATTCTTGATCAAAGAGTATAATAAGTATAGGGGAAGCCTTGATGAAGCTGAATATAAAGTAATTCAAAGGTTAGGTTATTTTCAATTAAACTAATATAATTAGTTGTAAACCAACGCTTCCTATGTTTCTGAGTGTAAGGTTAATAGACCTGATAGGTTAAGATGGACTGAATTGGGTCTCTACCCAATTCCCAGCAAGAAATTTAAAGAAATAATGTTATTATTGATTGCCTCGTTGACCGAGTGGTCGCAAGTGCAATTGCTGGCCACGGGGTCTCGGGTTTGATTCCCGGGTCGAACAAAATATTACTGCGTTTTTTTTTTAATCCCTGTAGTAGTGCGGAGTCTGAACTGTTCCCAGTATATGGCTATAGGCTCACCCCCTATTACATGGGACTCATAACATGAATAGTGAAAAGTGGGTGTGTTACATTGTGCAGTGGCATTATGTGCCGTAATGTGCACCTCTGCCTACCCCTTAGGAGGATAAAAGGCATGATGTTACTTATTTTTTATTTAATGCTTTTAATGTTGCAGATAAACCATGGCTACAAACTATGCACAGTATTCTCAATTAATAAAAGCCTCAACGAACTACGCACGACGTATGCAGCGCCTATCTAATAGAATTTTCAGTGAGGTAGCAATTCCCACAAATTCAAAATCCATGAAAGTGGTTAAAATGTTTTCGGAGCGCCCGTTGCACACCAACGAGGAAATCATTCACTATTACCCTCGACACGTCGAGACACACAGCTTGATGCTCAAACTAAGGGAATATGGATTGTTCAGAGATGAACACCAAGACTTCAAAGATGAAATGAAAAGGCTGCGGGAGCTCAGGGGCAAAGTTAAAGTATGGAGGAGAAAGCTAGACCAGAAGTCTGAATAAAGTGTTGTATTAATCAATCAAGTTGATGCTTGTAGGGTATTTCAAAACTTGTTTTAGATTGACAAGTTTTAGTTTTTTTTTAATTTAGATGCTATGAAATAAAACCACCTTCATCATATTGAGTGTATTATTCATAGACAACTTAAATTACACATGAGTTATTTTCTTAGAATAGCGCAATTGCTTATAAGGGACCTCCTGTGTTTTACCAGTGTAGAATGTGACATATATGAAGAACATCATGAACAACACAGACGGCAGCACCATTGTTGTTAAGAAATACCAGATTGGATGGTGGTAGGTTTTTAAACTCCGTGCAATTCTTTTAATATTGTAGTCATAATTGCGAGTTAATGCAAATGCATCAAAGTAATGCTTCATCCATTTATAGACCCTGCAACAATAGCATGTATGTATCAAGAACTTAGTGCGGTCCCTTTATGTAAAGGAGGGGTCCTCATTTTGTATGGGGGGTGGGTTTTTATTTGGAGAGTTCATACACATATTTAGGTAATAGGTATGTAAGTACCTATATAGTATGATGTGGGAATCAAACCCAGGATATTTATAACTATTTTTTTTTTATATAAATACACGCGATCGTTACCCGTGTCGCCGTAGCTTAAGGCGCGACTTCGTAGCGTTGGCTAGTCGGTCCAGGTTGTTGTACGGGGTCTTCATGATCACAATGGCCAGGTCGAACCAAGGATGCATGACGTGGTGGCGCACGGCGCGCGAGCGGTACAGGCCCGTGTCGCCGCCGGCCACGAGCCGGCAGGAGCCGCCGGCCGACACGCGCTCGGCCGCCATGGCGGCGCTGGGCGCGGCGCCGAGGCAGAGCGCGCGCGCCACGACCCACTCGCGGTTGTACAGCGCGCCGTCGCAGTGCCGCCAGCGCCCGCCGCTCGTGCGCACGCATATTGCCATCTTGTTCCGTCCTTCCAAGCCGTACAACTCTTCCAGTAGCTCATCTTGCTTAGCCACTGCGCCGCTCACTATTACCACGATACAAACTAACTTCAGCCACATTATTTCAGGTCTCTGGAATATTCCACTTGCTATCTGTTGCGACATGGACTTTTTTTTTAATAGGGTGCGAATGTTTTTGTCAATTTTTGTTATAGTTATGAACGGCCAGCACGCAAACAATGCGCTGTAAGTAGGTACTATACCTATTACGTTATCTATACTCTGTACTCAAACTAGGTATACCTCCTTTATTATGTTCTGTGCAGGTGACTTGGAATTCGACGTATTTCTCTTGGGTTGTGATAATACAACTTATTTGCCACTAAATTAACCATGATGTCGCAATATAATTCAGTTCAATGAATCGAAAATCTAAGATTTTTTTATGGATGCAAGCAGCGAGTTGTCGTTCGGCGTTGAGGACTAAGGGAGGGGCTTGTGTTTAGCAGTCGACGTCTTCTGGATGAATATGAATGATGATAGAGTAAATACTTTCATTTGCTTTGTATAAGATACGAATTACTGACATGAAATATTTAATGGAAACATGAAGCTGACAATGAAAGATAGGAAAAATAGCCATCATTTATTTGATTACAAAATGTTTTGTCAAGAAATAAATTGCTACATAAAATATATAAAACAAGAAATGCCTCAACTGTGTAGCGGTCCAGTGACGCGTGCGCGGTGCGGCCGGCAGTGACGTCACTACCGGCCGCACCGCGCTTCTCACTACGACAAACTCATCATTATTTTGTGAAAACATGTACTTATTCAAAATCCTTAACATTAACTTTTACATTATTCAGTTCAAAATCTAAATTTATATATGAAATTAAACTATTTAAGCCACGTACAACCTAGACCAACACGTACTTATCAGTAGAATCGAATGAAACATAAACAGTTCCGCAGTACACGCGGGGTCCCGGCAGTCGTCCACTTCACTGGAGGCGGCTCGTATTGTTTCTATGTATTTAAAAACTACTACATCAAAGTCGCGGGAACTCGTAAGCGAAGCAATTTGTAGAAAACTTGTCAGCTTTATTATATACTTCATATTTCTATATCGTATTTACTCGTTACTCTACTATCACATCTCACGTAAGGGTTCATGTAAAAATAAACTGATCGAGATATAAGCAAAGTAGTCGAACGTGTCGTCGACCGACACGCGAAGCAGAGTGCGCGGCGCATCCATCGGACCGCAAACACTGGCGTCACTAGAGCCAACGTCGGGCCGCTCGGGGAGCCAGGCGGCCCGAGTGTAGTCGTCGAAGTCGTCGCTGGCCACGCGGGGCGCCAGGTCGGGCCGGTCGGGGCGCCAGGCGGCCTAGGTGTAGTCGTTGAAGACGTCGATGGCCACGCGGGGCGCCAGGTCGGGCCGCTCATGGCGCCAGACGGCCTAGGTGTAGTCGTTGAAGTCGTCGATGGCCACGCGATGCGCCAGGTCGGGCGGGCCGGCGTAGGGCTCGGGCGGGCGCGCGGCGGCGGCCAGACGCTCGGCCTCGGCGCGCACGCGCAGTCGCTTCAGCAGCCGCAGCCGCTCCAGCGAGTTGGACGCGTACGGCGCGCCGCCCAGCTTCAGCGACTGCGAGATCTGCGACGCCAGCTGGACACCCGAAACACCAGACACGTTACAAGTGCGTTTCCGGCCTTTTGGGGATTAGGAATTAGAGGGTTGTCGGGGATTCAAGGATTGAAGATATTGGGAGAGGGGAGGTAATTGGGCCTTCGGATACCTCACTTATACGGTTTTCTGCTCGGCCATGGTATAACTCTGGTCGAGCCGGCCATTCTTACTGAAGCATGGCTCTTCCACAATTACCAAAGTAAGGAAGTCAATAATAATTGATGATTTTCTTAATAGTTAACCGACTTACTTACCTGTAGTGTATATCTATTACAGCCAAAGTGATTAATTTAATATTATTCATAATGACTGGTCATTATCCATAATATCTACGGAGTTTAGTTAAATGTGTTAAATGAAGCAGATCACATTAACTAGGTATTATTAATAATACCTTCTAATACTTGGATAAAATAATAAACAAGCCGGTTTAAATGAGCAGGGCTGTTTTGCGACATGCGTCTGACCGGATTGTCAATGTGCGAAGTTCTGCAATTAATTTTCGATGCGAGATGTTCTATCACGACATAGAACGGCTCTGGCGATGGCGACGGCTCGAAAACTATACCCATGATGAAAAGTTGAACATTTCGAGTAGTGGTGGATTTTGACTCAGCCGTATTCATTCCGGCTTGTCGTCTAGCCGTGATTTTCAATAACGCCACCCCGCTCACCGCTAAGACCGCAGCTATGAATGTGAATGAATCGTATTTATCACTTTGCTGCTATTATTTATAATATTTGAATAATGTAATTAATTTATCACATTGAATCATAATATGTATAATGACCAGTCATTACGAATAATATCTAATAAATATCATAATATAATAAATATAATAATATGTAATTAATCACTTTGGCTGTAACATATGTATCTATAAATATTACTCGAGCTGTTGGAGTTGCTATGTGAACGACTGTGGCGCCCTCAATTATTGCCATGCTAAATAGACGAGGTGTACGCACCGCGCAATGCAGCGCCATCTGGCGCGCGAGCAGCGCCACGTTGGAGTCGGAGACGCAGTGCGTGTCGTGGTGCGCCAGGAACTTGGTGCGGATGCGTTCGTCCTTGGTCTTCACGAAGACGCGGTTCATGCCATGCTCGTATGGCTCCACCACTACGATGCAGAAGTTCAACTGGCCCTGGACACCACAAGTTGAATCAGTAATAGCATTTCTACGAAGATTCTTTTAGAGTAACACCAGCTTCCAGAGACTGTCTGCAGTTAGAGTATAGTATACAGGCTTTTGCGCGCTTTTACGCAAAAGGGTGTAAAATGATTATTAATCAGAGTAAATGTTATGCGAGTTATATCGCCTCTACTGAAGCATCTATCCGGAGAAATCCTAAGACTTTCTGGTAATTTGTAAAGCACAGATCTAAATCTACCTCTATCCCTAGTTATTTTAAACATAAGGATGTAACGATTTCCTCGCCCGAAGAAATTTACAATGCCTTTCTTGCTCCGACTGGTGTTGATTCTGACGTTACTCCGGAATGTCCTTATTCCATATCAAATACCTTGTCTAATATTGGTGCGATTGAGATAGATGTCAAGCGTGTCAAAAAATTACTAACCAATCTTGACTCAAGTAAATCAGCTGGTCCTGATGATTTGTCCCCCCAGTTTTTGATAGACTGTGCAAAAACTATCGCTGTGCCCGTTACTATGCTGTTTGAAAAATCTTTTACTGAATCTGTCGTTCCTCAGATTTGGAAGTCAGCCTATATAACACCAGTGCATAAGAAGAGTTCAAAGAATGAAGTAGTTAACTATAGGCCAATATCCAAACTTTGAATCGTGTATGATCAGGTTTACGCTGCGGTTAGGAGCTCGTTTTTAGTCCCACGCAACATGGTTTTCTGAAGGGTCGCTCCACAGTATCGAACTTGATCTTACTAAGCGACTACTTGACTGACAGTATGGATAGTGGGGCACAGGTCATTTATACCGACTATAGCAAAGCCTTCAACAGAATTGACCATAATATTCTTAAAACTAAGCTATACAGTATGGGTATATGCGGTGACTTACTCAGATAGTTTACGTCCTACCTAGAAAACAGGTCTCAAGCTGTTGTAGTCAATAACTAGGTACATATCTAGCTGGTTAAAGATTCCAAGCGGTGTTCCGCAGGGGTCTCTAATTGGTCCCTACTTTTCATCTTATACGTGAATGACATTGACCTCTGCTTCCATAGCTCTAATCTTCTTATTTTTGCTGACGACATGAAGATAAACTCCAAAATAACGTCAGTGGAGGATATGCTGGCTCTCCAGGATGGCGCGCCCGGATGAGCACTGCCAGTTGAATAAACTTGACCTGAATCCCGCAAAATGCTCAGTGATTACTTTTAGTAGAAAGCGGTTCCCGATGATTCATCCATACGAGCTGAAGGTTCAAGTTCTGCAAATGTGTGACGGAGTACGTGATCTTGGTGTTTATGATGACGCAAGACTTCAGTTCGATATCCATATTGATCAGATGGCCAAGGCTTCGAAAGCACTCGGTTTTGTCATGAGAATATCTGGGTGTTTTAAACAGGCAAAGACATTCAAAATTGTATACTGCACATTTGTAAGAAGTAGCCTCGAATATGCTTCTCAGATATGGAACCATATTATAATAAATATATCGATCGAATTGATAACATCCAGAAGCAGTTTGTAAAATTTGTATGTTATCGCTTGAAAATTGACTATCACAGTGCTGACTATTTGAATTTTTGCAAGTGATTTCACTTGCAACCTATTGTAAACAGGCGTAGATTGGCGGATTTTTTATTTATGTTAAAAATACTATCTAATGACATTGACTGCCCTAAAATACTGCAGAGCCTTCATTTGAATGTTCCTCGTAAGTCATTTAGGTGCAGTGTACCGATATCGATACCTACTTCCTAAACCAACTATCGGAGTAATTCGTATATTGTGCGAGCGAGCAATGATTTCAATAAACTCTGTAAAGATTTTTCATTCGACTCATTTAACACAAAACTTACTGTGGCACGCACGCAGCTGCACCTCGATTTCTTTAATTCATAGTGGGTACCAATATGGTCCTTAATATTTGGAGTTATTTGTGCATATCATTATAGACTGCCTGTGGCTTAATGAGTTTAATAAGTAATTTTAGTACTGTGTTAGCATGTTTCTACTTTCTGTTACAAATCGTGGAAACCAGTAATTGGCTCCTTGTTGCATACCACATTCTATTTAATCAAATTGTATAGCTGTTGGTTTTCCGAATGTATAAATAAATAAAAAGAAAGCCGCTTCGGAGAAGAAACTTATCCATACTAATACTTTAAATGAGAAAGTGCGTATGTCTGAAAGACTCTTTCACGGCATAATAACTGGTACCAAAGTTTACTCGTCTGTACCTCCGGTTATTCTGTGTGGCACACCGCTTGAGAGGGTGACGCATTTCAAATACTTGGGCCACTGGGTCACTGACGATTTGTGTGATAACATGGACATTGACAGGGAGCGCAGGGCGCTGTCCGTCCGGTGTAATATGTTGGCTCGTAGGTTTGCACGTTGTACTCTGCCAGTAAAAGTGACTTAGTTCAAGGCTTACTGCCAATCGTTTTACACGAGCAGCCTGTGGGCCAACTACACGCAGCGTACAGCGCACTGCGTGTACAGTACAACAGTGCCTTCAGGGTGCTGCTGGGGTTACCGACGTTTTGTAGTGCTTCAGCTATGTTTGCTGAAGCACGAACTGATGATTTTTTCGCCATAATTAGAAAGCGGAGCGTTTCACTTCTTGATCGCCTGCGTGGTAGCACTAATAGCATGCTGAGGGTATTGTCCGAGCGTTGGGATCTGCCCCTTTTAAAGGTATGGATGAAGTTGCATGCTAGTGGAGTCTCACGTTATATTTAATGTTTTGTTATTGTAATTTTATTTTAATTTTACATCAATCTTTATTTTAATGTATTTCATTATTGTTTTATTTTATTTTAGTTTAATTCAATTTCAATTTTACATATATTTTTATTTTTCAATGACATTTATCATTTGTTTTTTTAATTGAAATCTGATTGTATAATAATAGTAATTGTAATTGATGATCAAATTTGTGTAACTAACACTTGTTGTAAAAGTAAATTGTTACTAACCATTTATGAGCTCTGAGCCTGAAATAAAGATTACTATTCTATAATGGAACGACGAATAACGGTGATTTTTTAAGCAAAGATAGTTAAAGGGACGGAGAGTGCCGTAGGCTACTTTGTATCTTTCTAACGCCCTATTTCTCTAAATAGTTTCATACAGCGGTATAAAACGTTTTGTTATTTTTAAGGTAAAAAAATAAAAATTTGTAGGCGGACTATTAGGGGCGGCGTACCGTCTCACTAGGGGGCGTGGAGTCTGTACCATACCACCTCCTGGAGTGGTCAGGTGGGCGACCAGCTTACTCTTGAAACTAATCTCAATGCCAATGCGATTTTAATCCAATAAAATCTCAATAATTATTCAACGTCAACCCCAATCGTAGCTGTTAAAAATAGCACTCACGAAATATATACGAAACATATATATAGCCAAACTCAATGTCATTAAATATCCACGCAATATGGATGCAATGAACGCTGGTGTTGAAAATTCCACATAATATATATACGAAATTTCACAATACCCATGTCGATCGATTGGAATTGGATTCAAGAGTAGAGCCCTAGGGAGACAAAAAAGACGTACGTTTTCTTTAAGTCGCAAATAGTTGGCAAAAAATGCCAATATTTAGCTTTCTATCTTGAAAACTGCGGATTGGAGAGTTAGAAAAACACAAAAAGTAGCCAACGTCACTTTCCATTCCTTGAACTATATATCTTCACTTAACAACTCATATCAATTCTTCGCTCCGTTTTGCCGTAAAAACAGAAAATGAACAGACGCACACACTTTCGCATTTATAAGATTAGTATGGCAGTATGGATTCCACACTTATCAGGAACAATACCCAGCGGAAACATTCACACTGCACTGCATCTCACAAAAAGACATAAATACATAATTAGGCTCAGAATGATACTAAGTCAAAACAATTGTAGCAACAAGAGTCAAAAGACAGGGTGTACTTTTCCGTGGATAACACATGAGTCATTGTTATTTAAAAACTATATGACTTGGATTTTTTTATATTTTACGATAACTGTTGTAACCTTGCCGGTCATCTGGTGCCATTTGATCATCGACTTCAGGGACACCTGTATACATGAAATATTAAAATAGTAGTATAATAGGATATTATACACAGGGTGACTTGTAACTCGACATATTCCTTTCGACAAATGGAAATAAAATCAGTTTTCTATTGACTGGAATCAGTAATTCAAAATTTGATAAGAATTTACTAGCTATTTTAAAATGCTCTCGCGGCCCGCCAGACATTGAACAATAAATGTTATTTGATGTATTGGTAACTTAAATCAAACCATTCGTTTTGTATTTATTGATGTGTTTGTAGTTAATTCGGGGTTTTTATCTCGATAACTAGCTGCTTTGGGGCTAGGGACCTCAAGGCTGATTTTATGAGAAATTAGGTAGTTGCATTGTGACACCCAAGAGGAACCCGCCGAGTTACAAGTCACCTGTACAGCCAGTACCTTGATGGTATGTATGTTGAAGTCTGCGCCGGAGTCATTGTACACTATGGACACGTAGTCGTTGCCGATGTACTTGCGCTTCTCGTTACACGTCGGGTCCTTGGCCGACGAAGGCATCGCCGTCGCCACGTGGAACAGCACCTGCAACGCGCCGCGTTACTGTCTGGTACTCGCGGTACTGGTCGCGACACTCGACACTGGACACTCGCTGCGCCCGGTGGGACAACTACTACACATTCAACACACGTGGACACAGCGGTGCACATTATGCCACTGTACAATCTAACACCCACTTTTCACTATTCATGTTATGAGTCCCATGTAATAGGAGGTGATCCTATTGCCATACATCGGGCACAATTCCAGACTCCGTGTTACTACTGAGATTTCTTAAAACCCAGTAATACTTTGACCGAGCTGGGAATCGAACCCGAGACCCCTTGCCCCGTAGTCGCACTTGGAACCACTCGGCTAACGAGGCAATTATTCGATCAATCTATAATAGTTAGTTCTTAGTCCAAGGCATTATTGTAGCAACATTAATTAGTTTATTTTTTCAGCAACTTCCGTTAGTTGAGCTGATTGTAAACCGACACATGCACACAGTATCACTGCCACGCGAGCCACCTCGGAGCGGGACACTCTGGGGAACACATTGCTTACAGTGGACTGTGTCGGGGGCAACTTCGGCTCTTTGATTATATAATGTCTAGATGGAGTGTCAGTTCCCGAAAAGCGGCACAAAAATTTGCAGTGAACTGTTCACAATGCACTTTCCCGTCAAGTCACTTACGCGTCACTACGTGTATGCGCGCTACAAAATGTATTTTTAAACAAAGCCACTGGAAAGATAGCCACATGCTCCATAAAATTGTGCTTAAATTATAAATGACGGTTAAAAGTACTCAACAGATCACTTATCCATCGCTAACTAATTAAAAATTACATTGTGCAATTTATTTATCAGTGTTGTCAATTTATTTTTCAATATTGCCTTCTCAAGAGTCTCATAAAGAGGGAAAAATAGACAAAAAATCTCAGTTACTTGTAAATTAAAAATTAAATAACAATTTTATTATTGATTGATGAACTAACACTTACCTACGCTTCAATGTACTATTTGTTCTAACCGACCAAACATAGAAGGTTCGTTTCGATTTTTGACAGTTATTTTGAAATGATTTCATACTGACTTAACTTTTCATAATGAAAATAAATTACTTGTATGACAAAATATAAATATCAACGAAGTGTGCATTAAAAAACCAAATTAAAATCAATTTCAAAGAGATGGTTAGGTATTTTAGAAGTTTTGGAACGTTATTTTTGTTGCTATTGTATGGTGACGCTCTATCTAGACATTATATTTATAATCAAAGCTTCAACTAGGTTTTGTTCGTCAGCAATGTTCATCATGAATCAGAGCGTCACCTGCATAATGTCATCATTCCACACGTAGGTGTAGTGTCCGTCCTTGCCTCCCTTCTCCAGGTTGAGGAACAGGTGCGGCTGGTCGTCCGCGCCGTCCAGCGGCACCAGCGTGCCCAGCTGCGTCAGGAACTCTGCGTATCTGTGCGCGTGTAATACCACTTGTACTGTCTTGTCCCGCCACTCAAGCTCTACTCGAGCGCACTCAGTGCACCTACCTCACACTGCCCACTCACTCGCTCCCTGCGAGCGCACTCAGTGCACCTACCTCACACTGCCCACTCACTCGCTCCCTGCGAGCGCACTCAGTGCACCTACCTCACACTGCCCACTCACTCGCTCCCTGCGAGCGCACTCAGTGCACCTACCTCACACTGCCCACTCACTCGCTCCCTGCGAGCGCACTCAGTGCACCTACCTCACACTGCCCACTCACTCGCTCCCTGCGAGCGCACTCAGTGCACCTACCTCACACTGCCGTATTCATTTTTCAGTATTAAAACTTCGTTGTCTTGTTGTCCGGGTCCCACGTACAACACTCCAATCTGCAAGAACACGTGCGGTGAGTGCGTGCGGGGGCGGGGGGGGGGGCGGGGGCGGGGGCGCGGGTCGGGGGCGCGGGCCCTCGCGGCAGTACCTTGTAGGTCTCGACGGGCGGCACGAGATCGAGGTTCTTGATGGTCCGCTCGTGCTGCACGCCGGCCACGCGCAGTGGCCGCTCCGCCAGCGGGTTCAGGATGCTCGGCGTCTCGCCTGGGGGGACACGCATTGCTCTCATCACTTGGAACTCTATGAGTTCAATGTCGAACGCAACAATAGACAATCTACATTTCTCTACGTTGAATTGATTTTCAAATTCAATTTTTTTGATTGCATTCGTTAATATGTACGTCTATACTCGCATCAATAAAACCTTTGACCATCATTAGATTACGCTCAACAATAAGTTTGTAGATTCTACTACCATACATACTACCATCCATATTAATATTATAAATGGGAAACTGTGTCTGTCTGTATGTTGTATCTTTTTATCTTTCTTTCACGACAAAACGGAGCGACGGAGCGACGAATTGACGTGTTTTTTTAAGTGGAGATAGTTGAAGGGATGGAGAGTAACATAGGCTACTTTTTGCCCCTTTCTAACCCCTACATCCCTAAAATGGGGGTGGAAGTTTGTATGGAGCGAACCGCAATTTTCAAGGTAAGCAGCTAAAAATTGGTATGCTGACTTTTGTTTGTTCGTTTGAATGGAATCGTCTCCGAAACTACCGGACCGATTTGAAAAATTATTTTACTGTTGGAATCCTACATTATCAATAATGAATGTAGGTTATATTTAATACATTTTGACACAAACACACTATAACAACACACAATACAAACTTTCTATATTATCTGACATATTTTTGACAAGTGAGTTGCCAATGGACCATTGACAATTTATTTTTTTACTAGCTGTTACCCGCGACTTCGTCCGCGTGAAATAACGACTACTGTATAAATTGGGTTTTTTAAATTAGTCTTTGTCAAGGTATATTCTACGGCTGTACAACTGGAACAAATATCATCACAATCGATTCAGTACCTAGGTTATATTTATTGAGAAATGAATTTATTTTCGTGGTTTCTAAAATAAACAATCCCATAGAGGTTTTACCCGTACAGTGCCCGTCTCGTGAGGTTTCACTATTCTATGTTTGCAAATCAATGTTGTATCGCATTTCAATCAAATAGATATATTTTAACAGCACAGTTCCCGGTTTCGTGGGTTTTTCGGGTTAAAAACGTTTAGATGTCCTTTCCCGGGTCTCAAACTATCGCTGTATCGAATTTCACCAAATAGGTTCAATGGTTTAAAAGGTAAGAGCCCCTCTTTATTTCAACGTCCTTGGTCCTGGTTTTTTAGCGCATAGTTTCCGTCATTTTGGGATTTCCTCTCTCCTATAATGTGACCTGATATGTACCGGTGCGACGTGCGTTACTATCGCAAACATTTAAATGAAAAAATAGGTATTCTAATATTAGGTTAGTTACATATGACACATGTACTTTAATGTTGATATTAATGTCCTCTATAAGACTTAATACATCCCTTGGCTCTATTGTCCATAATTTCCACAGCGTAATCAATACCAATAATATAAGGAGTTTTTTGGTAGTTTTTCACACATCGGGTTGTCATTACCTCAAGGAGATTTTTTTTGAGGTCGGAAAATCATCCAATCACTTCTCCCGCCTTGGGTTAGGTGAGAGGGAGTGACAGATTCTTACTGACTAAAATCCACTCCGTTCCTACTCCTGCTCGTCGAGCCGGAGCCCCGTCAACTCGTTAGGCCTCCCGCGGCACCGTATCGAGCATCAGCCCTACTGCGCGGCACCGTATCGAGCATCAGCCCTACTGCGCGGCACCGTATCAAGCATCAGCCCTACTGCGCGGCACCGTATCAAGCATCAGCCCTACTGCGCGGCACCGTATCGAGCATCAGCCCTACTGCGCGGCACCGTATCAAGCATCAGCCCTACTGCGCGGCACCGTATCAAGCATCAGCCCTACTGCGCGGCACCGTATCAAGCATCAGCCCTACTGCGCGGCACCGTATCAAGCATCAGCCCTACTGCGCGGCACCGTATCAAGCATCAGCCCTACTGCGCGGCACCGTATCAAGCATCAGCCCTACTGCGCGGCACCGTATCAAGCATCAGCCCTACTGCGCGGCACCGTATCAAGCATCAGCCCTACTGCGCGGCACCGTATCGAGCATCAGCCCTACTGCGCGGCACCGTATCGAGCATCAGCCCTACTGCGCGGCACCGTATCGAGCATCAGCCCTACTGCGCGGCACCGTATCAAGCATCAGCCCTACTGCGCGGCACCGTATCAAGCATCAGCCCTACTGCGCGGCACCGTATCGAGCATCAGCCCTACTGCGCGGCACCGTATCAAGCATCAGCCCTACTGCGCGGCACCGTATCAAGCATCAGCCCTACTGCGCGGCACCGTATCAAGCATCAGCCCTACTGCGCGGCACCGTATCAAGCATCAGCCCTACTGCGCGGCACCGTATCAAGCATCAGCCCTACTGCGCGGCACCGTATCAAGCATCAGCCCTACTGCGCGGCACCGTATCAAGCATCAGCCCTACTGCGCGGCACCGTATCAAGCATCAGCCCTACTGCGCGGCACCGTATCAAGCATCAGCCCTACTGCGCGGCACCGTATCAAGCATCAGCCCTACTGCGCGGCACCGTATCAAGCATCAGCCCTACTGCGCGGCACCGTATCGAGCATCAGCCCTACTGCGCGGCACCGTATCAAGCATCAGCCCTACTGGGCTCCATCTATGATGGTGTCATGGCTCTGTAAGGCGCGCGCCGTATGCACGGGACTGGATCTGGTCGGGTGGCGAGCTACCCTTGCTCTTCGTCTACAGACCCGCACTTACGGTGGCCGGGTCCCGCGACGGCTGGGGCGTGAGGAAGTTCATTCCCTCACGCGCTCCGCTTTCTCCTTGGCAAGCATAACTGCTTCGCAGAAGGATGCGACTGCATCCCAATCCCCCTCGCTCCATGGCCTAAACCAGAGCCGAACGCGAGACGTCACCGTTTCCTACATCCCTGAGAACACGGCGGTGCTCAGCCCATGCAAGGTACACCGCCACGGTATACTCCACCGTGTTCTCCGGGCGGTCCTTGCATTGATGGCCTCTCTAAAGCCACTTTTAAAGAGCGGACTTTCCGCTGCAATGACAGCGAGCCCAGCCCTCGGTTACCTAAAGGAGTGTTTCGCTGTGTAAGTGAGGTTACCGGAGGCCCAATTACCCCTCCCCCAGCCTCCCCAATCCCTGACAATCCTCAAATTACCAATTCCCAAAAGACCGGTAACGCACTTGTAGCACTTCTGGTGTTACAGGTGTCCATGGGCGGCGCAGATTGCTTACCATCAGGTGATCCGTCTGCTCGTTTACCGGCTTATGCCATAAACAAACAGCAAACTATCATAGTGAATTTGGCCTTGACGGTCTAAAATGAAAAGGACTAATATTATTTTTTAGCTATGTGCATTTAGTTAGTTTTTTTGATATACATATAAAAAATACGAATTCAAGTAAACTGAAAATATTTTATTCGTGGTTTTATCTCCTTAGACTGCTGTCAACCTCTTTGCATACCTTAATATTACCTCTAATACCATAGTATAAAAACAATCTATGACACATTGACTTTGTAAACTCACTTGTCACACAAATGTCAGATGACTTAAGAAATGTATACTAATAATATAAATTTGTATGTGCTTGTTTGTTTGTTTGTCCGTATTTCACGACAGAACGGAGTCAGGAAGGTTTTTGATTTGAGATAGTTGAAAAGATGGAGAGTATCATAGGCTACTTTTTGTCTTTTTCTAACCCCCTTCCACTTCCGTGAAACAGAGGTGAAAGTTTGTATGGGGTATTTTGCAATTTTCAATGTGGAAAGCTAACAATTGGTATGCGGGTTATTTGTGACCAGCATAGAATCGTGCATCATTTCATTTTTTTTTTGTAAATCCTTCCCTCACCCCATTAAAAGAACGCGAGAGAAGCCGCAGACAGAGGCTAGTCTATGAATAAATTGTATTCAGTCAATTGAATTCGTATTTTGCCTTTAAAATCCCTGATCCCTGATGCAGCTGAATACTAATATTATTCCTTGAAAACCCACAGAACTTCATTTTTATATGTTGATGCCAAAATATATTATGAAAGTAGGACGCCATAACAATTACAAATCATTAGGTTGTTACCTGTCAGATATCCGTTTTCAGGTTTTCAAATAAATCGTAATAATTATTCTTAAAAATCGACATAGTGAGTCGAAATTTCAAAAACGCTAGAACAAATGTCTTATTATTTTTTATCAAGTGCTTAAATATAAAGTTTCATGGTTTTATCTTTAAAAATTATGAAATCCCATACAACTTCCCCCCCCCCTTTTAACCCCTTACAACCCCTTTTTCGCGATAAAAAGTAGCCTATGTTTTATCTCGGGGTCTAGAATATCTGTATACTAAATTTCATTCAAATCCGTTCAGTAGTTTTGGCGTGAAAGAGTAGCAGACAGACAGACAGACAGAGTTACTTTCGCATTTATAATATTAGTTAGGATTAATGTAAATGTTATTTCAATGATCAGTGTGTTGCACACAAACATTTCGGTGCGCGCGTGTCCACGCGGGCGGCGGGCTATCTATTAGTGACGCGTTATCTACTTCCATATCATCGTGACCGAAATTAATACCGCTTATTATGTACATGTGAGTAAGATGGCTGTACACTGGAATAGTTTTGATCAACTTTCTATTTTCACCGAATTTCAATTCCAACGTCGATTCTGTCCGGAACACCACGGGAAAAAACTTTGCATAAACTCATTGAGATAGACGTAGGTATAACTAAGGGTATTGGGCGCACGGACCGACACAATTTTTTCAGGAATTTACAAGGTCGAAAGACTAGCTACCTTTACCTATAAACCCTTCGTCCCAAATGTCACGGTTGATTACAAAAATACGATTTCTTTTATTAAAATGACAAATACACTCAAACTGTTTATACTTTAAACCAAATATTTTTTCGTTTATGGGTGTAGTGGTGCAACATGATGTTTTATTCGTGTTTTTTTGGTCGCATTTTGGGCGGTTTAGCGCCACATTGGACACTGAATTGATAAATGACAAAGACGCGCCTGGGGATGAGTTTTGAGGTTCGGCGACGATGACTATGATTGTATTGGTGTCTCAATGATATTGATAGTCAGTGTAATAGGTGGCGTACCTGGCACGGGCGGCGTGATGGGGTACGTGCTCATGTTGTGGTACAGCTGCAGGAACACGAAGGACGGCGACAGCCCGCCGCCGCCGCCGCCCACCGCGCCCGGCGCCGCGCCCGACGCGGCCGGCGGCGCGCGCGGCGCGGCGCTGTGGCGGCGCGTGGGGCTCATGACGGAGATGGTGTTGGAGCGCTTGGAGCGCGCCAGCGGCGGCAGGTCGTGGCCCGCCGGCACCGTGCCGTCGCTGGCCGTCTGCACAGGCGCGGCCAGTGAGCGCGGCGTACTCACCTGGCGCCCGGCCGCCGCGCCGCCCGCGCCGCCTACCTTCTGCAGCTGGTGGTGCGCGCCGCCCGCGCCCGCGCCTCCGCCGCCGCCCGCCGCGCCCTCGCCGGACCCTGTTTCAGTTACGAGATCGGTCATTATGACGAGAGAGCAACACAAATCGTCATCGATTTGTAGTCGATTTTATTAATATTCATCGATTAAGGAGTTTAAGCGTGGTCTTTAAAATACCAAGACCTGTTTTCACCAACGTATGTTAAAGTTTAAGGATCCGCTAAGATAAGGGGTTCCTTATCTATCTGCAGGGACCACTTGTTAGAAAGTGATAAGAGTCGTAGCGATACAGACTTGTATCGCTACGTAAGCGTGAGTAGCGACGGCACTGACCGGGGTCGGAGTTGTAGGTGCAGAGATGCGGGTGCGGCGCGTGCGGCGACGTGCCCGACATCTCCTCGGGGATGGCCTCGCACGACACGCGCATGTCGCTCTTCTTGGCCGCCTTCTGCCGCGCGTGCAGCGACTGCGCCGTGCTGCCACTGCAACCAAGCTCTGTACTACTGCCTCGGCGCGCCAGCACTCCATCGCACCCCTACTCACGTCGGCTCGCAGCTGGGCAGCAGGATCATGTCGTCGGGGTCCACGGGCAGGTCGGCCGCGGGCGCCGCCGTGTCGGCCGCCGCGCTGGCCGCTGCGCTGGCCGCCGCGCTGGCCGCCACGCTGGCCGCCACGCTGGCCTTCCACGAGGACGACATCTCGGGCGAGGAGTTGGAGCGGCGCACCGGGTGCCGCGACTTGCCCTGCAACACGCGCGCTACAGCGGCCGCAGTAGGGAGGCGGGGGCGGGGCGGGCGGGGCGGGCGGCGCGGGCTCACCTCGGGCACGATGAGCAGCATGTCGTCGTCGTCGGTGGTGCTGGAGGAGCTCTGTCGCTGCGGGGAGCCGGGGATGTTGATGGGCTGCGTGCTCATGCGGCCGACGGCGCTGCAACAGACACAGTGTACAGGCCGGGCCGGGCGGCCGCCGCCCCGCCCGCCCGGCCCGGCCGCCACTCACCTGCGCGCGCCGGCCGGCGGCTTCCTGTCGCCCACGGTGGACTCCGAGCTACAACAGACGGCGGCTGACAGACTGCACTCGCTACTGCTGTACTCGACTCGCTCGCCGGACAGACAGTAGTTGCGCCAAACCACGTATGTATCAAGTAAATAATAAAATAATAAAATAAATAAAAATGTTTATTTGGTGTAAAAAGCCCGATTACAAAATAAATCTTACTATCTAAAAAAAAAAAAAGTATAAATAATCAATTATTAATACTTTCATACAAGTAACGCAGTCATTCTTAACCGGTTTTAATGAACCTTAATAATAACCTAAATAAATTTAAGATTACATTGAATAAACTACTAATAAACAGTTGCTTTTACACCTTAGATGAGTTTCTTACAATGAAAGTTTAATGTGTGTAATATTGAGTGTGCAATATTGAGTGTGTTGTTATTTAGTAAGTCACCAATATGATAAATATGTGAATAAAGAAGAAAAGTAATAATAGTATGTTACGAGAAATAATTATGTTATCCTAGTTGTAAGCATTTTTGTAATTGGCTGTAAGATTTTAACTTTATTAAATTGTAAAACTTAACTTTGCATGCCGAAAACAGTAGGCGTTACGTTTGATATCCATTATGGAGGTAGTTGTGGAAACAATTCTATTATACTGTATGGCCATCAAAATTATGAATGTGTGCCAAATATTTGACCGATCCGTTGCAGGAAGGGGGTAACATTCCAATATGACTAAAATTAACCCAACATCGCCGCGACCGCGCACGTACTGCTATGAGGGTCCCTCTATGACTCTAAACTAGTAGCGCTTTTCTCAGTTTATTTACGTGAGTAATCAGTCATTTTGGGGTTTATTAAATTGTATGAAGGCACACTGTACAGCTCAATGAGTTCGACGTCTCCCAGCCGCGCCTACATGTGAAAACCTTTATATGACAGAGTAGAGCATTGTAAATGCGAGTCGCAATATCCCCTAGTCAATGTTCACACGTGGTCGTGTTTGTGGTCAACACAACGTTATAAATGAAAACTTTTGAAAAGCTAACGTTTTAGAGACGTGGTAACATTTGAAACATAAAACAATTGACTGATACGAAGTAAACTCGCGTGCGAAGCAGTACTTGTACTCACGCACTACTCACTAGCGAGTGGCGCGGTGGCGAGTTTGTTGTGTATTGTACACACACACACACACACACACACACACACGTGGCGCCGGTGTTGGCCATGGAGGAGTGAGGCACATTTCTTACTCAAAAATAAGTTATTTCCATTATTCAACAGAAAAATATTTAACAAAATAAGAAACCTTTTAAGGGTAAATAAAATCGTTACAGCGGCATATAGAACGAGTCGAGTTTAAGAACAGTCAAAGTGTATGAGCGCTCACCTGGACTTGTGCAGGTCTGTGGCGGGCGCGGGCTGCGGGGGCGCGGAGTACGGGGGCGCAGGCTGCGGGGGCGCGGGCTGCGGGGGCGCGGCGCGCGCGGATCCCGACGAGCCACTGCGGGAGCGCGGGTCGCCGTCCGAGCCCTACGCATCATCTGAATTATTTCTGACAGCCCTAGCATTATTCGACAGGGTACTTTTCCCATGTGTATGCCCGTACACGCGAGTGAAGTAACGTAAGGCCACTGACCGCGGCGCGGGCGGCGCGCGGCGCCAGCAGCGCGGCCACGTCCTGCAGCGGCGACTCCAGCAGGTAGTCCCAGTTCATGTGGTTCTGCACGCGCATGACCCAGCACACGTCGCCCGTGGGCGAGCGCACGTGCACCTCGGCCCAGTTGGCGCACCAGCACGGGCACGCGCCCGCCGCCGCCAGCTCGCCCACGCGCGACCAGCCCGCCTCGTCGCCGTCCACGTCGGCCGACACGCGCTCGAAGTGCGCAGAGAACTGCTGCAGCACGGCCGCCAGCGGGTCCGCGCCCTTGCTCTCCGACGAGCTTTGTCTGAAACGGGGACCACCTCTACTGGACACACATACACTCCTCTATACCTCGTCGAGTTCAAAGTATTCTGTGGTCAAAGTAGCAAAACCATTACAACACAATCTCGTACTTGTAAATCTAGTGTAATCAATAGAAGCCATGAATATACGGGGTTATTTTATTTTACGTCATCGCATTAATTTTATCTGAATATCCCATAATAAAAAATTAGCACCCATTTAGGATCTCCTCAAATAAGACGTACCGCTCGAGGTCGGCGGGCGGTGCGGGCGGTGCGGGCGGTACGGGCGGTGCGGGCGGTGCGGGCGCGGCGGGCGCCAGCGGCGGCAGCGGCTCGGCCACGCTGTCGGCGTGCTGGCGACACAGCGCGGCGCAGCGCTCGCACAGGCCCTGCTTCAGCGAGTTCTGCAGGCAGCCCGACGTCGTGATGGTGACCAGCTTGTGGCCCACCAGCCACGTCATGGCGGGGCCGCCCGCGAACAGGAACTCGGCCGTGTCGCTGCGCGCCGGCTTCACGCTGCACGGCGTGCTGGTGTAGCGCGCCAGCAGGTCCAGGCACGTCTCCGTCAGCTCCACGTGGAAGGCGGCGGACGCCGAGCCGGCGCCCGCGCCGCGCCCGCCCAGCGGCACGCGCGACACCGCGCGGGACCCCTGCACACACGCTCGGTCACGCTCGGCCGCGCGCGGTCGCGCCCGGTCGCGCGCGCTAGGCCGGCGGCACTCACCAGGCTGGAGCTGCGCTGCCGGTTGGACGAGTCCTCGTTGGCGCTCTGGAAGTGGTTGCTCTTGTACTGCAGCTGCTCCTCGAACGGCATGATGATGTAGTTGTGCAGGCCCTGCGCAGAGAGGCGAGTGAGCGAGGGGGCGGCGGGGCGCGGGGAGCGGGGGGGCGGGCGGACACGCACGTGTATGATGAAGCGTACGAAGTTGCGGCGGTAGGACAGGCGGCACTTGAGGAACCAGGCGGCGATGACGTGGTGCGCCAGCGACACCACGTAGTGGTTGTAGCGCGACGGGTTGGTGTAGGGGAGCAGGATGGCGAACACCGACATGTACTGGTCCTCCACGAACGACGCGAACACCTTCGGCAGCCGCGTCAGCGCTGCAACAGACAGGCCGTCAGCCGCGCCCGCCGCGCCCCGCGCCGCGCCGCGGCCGCCGCCGGCTACTTACTGGACAGGAACTCCAGCATGGGGCTGGCGATGGCCTTGGTGTCGGAGATCTTGGACAGATCCAGTAACACCTCCGGCAACATCTTCACCATGGTCTCCCTGGTCTCCAGCGTGAATATCGTCAGCGCGTTGATGTACGGCTGCGGGGTCCTCAGCACTGCGGAACATGTGTAAACTTGACTATGCGGAGTATCCAATAAAAAAGCCTTGAAACCATTGTATCATAATAACTACAACTGAATTAAAAAAGCGCATTGATTGTGCGTACAAAACTTACACTGCGGCAATGGAAGACGGGATTAGGCGTGACCCATTGCAATTTTGGTCGTACATTAAGAGTCTTCGGTCCAAGGGTGGCTTCGAGCCCACGGTGAGCTACAAAAGTCAGACCTTCACCGGCAAGGACGCAGCGAATGCCTTTGCGGATTATTTTTCAAGTGTTTTTTTTGCCAGACCGCCCAATGTTGGATGCTGATGATATAGTGCCTATCACAGCTACAACCGACGGGGGCTACATACATATCGAGAACTACACTATAGCTCAGGTCAAAAACGGAATTCTTAAATTGAAGCCGCGGAGTTCCATAGGCCCCGATAAGATTCCACCATATATTTTAATTGCATGTAGGGATTATCTCGCTCCTCCGCTAACCTATATAATGAACCTGGCACTCAAAAGTGCCACTTATCCGGACCAGTGGAAGTTGTCTCGGGTCACGCCGATACCAAAATCCAATAATAAATCTTCCGTGGAGGAGCATCGTCCTATTGCTGTTTTGTCTTGTCCAGCCAAAGTGTTTGAAACAGTTACACATAAACAACTTTACTATCAATTAAAATCACATTTATGTGATGAACAACATGGGTTCCGACAGGGCCGATCAGTTGAAACAAATCTGTTGTCACTTGTTGACTACGTCTCAGCGGGTCTAGACAGGGGTCACGAGGTGGATGTTCTTTATTTTGATTTTAGAAAGGCATTCGACACAGTTGATGGGGATATTTTGCTGAGCAAGTTACAGGCCATAGGATTCACGCCTAACCTTTTGCATTTTTTTGCAAATTACCTATTGAACCGAAAACAGTTCGTTTCTCACGGGTGCTTTCTTTCGAGGTCATATTATACGTTGTCGGGGGTGAGTCAAGGATCAATTCTGGGGCCATTACTTTTTCTTTTAATGATTAACGATCTTGTCAGTGTGGTGCAGCATGCTAAATGTTTACTTTATGCAGACGATTTGAAATTGGTCCTTGAAATATCCGAGAACTGCACTCGTGATGATCTTCAAAACGATATTGACCGCTTATTGCAATGGAGTTTGACCAACAAACTATATTTTAATACAAGCAAGTGTTATGTTATGACGTTCAGCCGCAAGTCGCAGCCTGGTCGGGCTGTGTACACATTGGGCGATACTGAGGTGACTCGTGTTTATGGCATCCGTGACCTTGGTGTGACGTTTGACTGTCGCCTCACATTTCACGAACACATCTCCTCAGTGGCCGCCGAATCATATAGACGTCTGGGCTTTGTTTTGCGTAATGCGCGAGATTTTAGGGACCCGAAAATAGTCGAAATTTTGTACAATTCCCTTGTTAGAAGCAAATTGGAATTTGCAGCATGTGTCTGGAGTCCATATGAAGTGACGTACTCACTGGTAATAGAAAAGATCCAAAAGTCCTTTCTACGTTACTTGTACAGGAGTAAGTACGGATACTATCCATATATGTACCCTACGGATTTTTTGCTGGGTACTCTGGGATACAACTCTCTGGCTGTACGGCGGTCTCGGATACAGATCATAACTGCACTTAAGATTTTGCGGAATGTTATTGATTCACCAGAATTACATAATCTATTATGCACCATCTACGTCCCAGACAACTACCTGCGCCACCGCCACAGCCGCCGGCACAGACTACTTGTGAACCCGCGGTGCCGCACTGTATCACGCGCGCACTCCCCGCTTTGTAGCATGCGCAGCGCAATCAATGCCCTCACTCTGGAGCTACCCGATTGTGACGTATTAGCCGACAGGTTTAACCAAATTGTACTGTTGACCATACAATTTTGTGAAAATGTTGTACTTAATTGCAAGTAACATGTGGGTATATTGTGACTTAATTTTTAATATAACTATTATTACTGTTTTTTTTTTTTCCAAATGTTTTGTGGGTAATTTGAGTTTGACAAGTTTGACATAATGATATTTTCTGTTAATCTTGACGTTTCATATGGTTTAAGTTCTGACATGAAGTTGAATTTAATTTTATTTTATTATATTTCTTTTAATGTTGACATGGATCTGAATGTGTATTTGTAATATTAATATAATGGTCTTATAACAAATTAATTAATTGCTGTCATTGGTGTAACCGTTGTAATTAATATAAATAAATAAATAAATAAATAAATAAATAAACTACTTTGATTATACAGAATGCCCCAGGAACTATAGACGAGGCCATTCCCTAACTATTGACGAGTGGTGAACATGTCTCGTGCAACTTTATCTTGTTTACTTATATACATGCACAATTGCACATGTTTATGTATGTGTGTGTGTGAATGTGTGTGTGTGTGTGTGTTAGTGTGTGTGATTTGACGACTTTCGACGGCGTCGTACGACGACGGTGACTATGAGTAAATAAATTTCTGTATCTTAATGTTTGTGAGTATTTCATTCGCAGATAATTACTATTTCGGTGTACATTGTGGCTTAATGTTTCTCAGCCGAGTGCGCCCCGAGGCGAGTACTCACCCATGCCGTACTTGAGCAGACAGCGCACTATGCGCTGCTGCGTCTGCGGCTCCAGGTAGGCGTGGTACGGCGCCATCGCCGCCAGCGCCGGCAGCGCCGCGCCCTGGAACTCCGACACCAGCAGCTTGTGCTGCGGCGCGCGCAGGCACTCGGGGAAGTTCAGGCTCCGGTCGCTCACCATGGCGCACAGCGTCGACGCCAGCAGGTCCAGGTCCTGCGCGCGCCGCCCCAGCACCAGCGCGCGCGCCGCCAGCAGCGCCGGCAGCGCGCGCAGCAGCCGCGCCAGCACCGCCCAGTCCTTCTCGCGCGTCAGCGCCGTGGCCAGCAGCCGCGCCGCGCGCCCCACGCCCAGCACCAGCGCGCCCGGCGCCAGCTCGCGCGCCGCGCCGCCCGCGCCCGGCGCGCCGCGCGCCGCGGGCGGCTCGGCCACCAGCCAGGGCGAGCACACGGGCCGCAGGCGCAGGCTGGCGGCGCCGAACACGGCCGCGCCGCTGCTGTCGTAGCAGAAGCCCACGCAGTTGAACTGGTTGGCGCGCAGCCCGAACAGCATCTCGAAGATCTGCACATCGTGGCTCTCCTGAAGTACGTCCTCTCACCGACGTCGTCGGCGGAGACGAGGGTACCCACCTTGATGCGGACGTCGGGGTGGTGCATGAAGAGCGCGTGTCGGCGGTAGTGGTGGTCCAGGTGCTCCAGCAGCACCAGGAAGGCGCGCGCCGCGTGCGCCGCCGGCGCCGCCAGCAGCTTGGCGTGCAGCAGCTCCAGCAGCCCCGCGCAGGCCGCCGTCACGTCGCTCGTGTCCGTCTCCGCCGGCACCGGCACCTCCGACACGTACATCTCGAATGGCCGGTTCAGGATCTGCACAGCGCACGTGTACTGTACGTACCGGCCGCGACACCGCAGCGCCGGCGCGGAGCGAGGCGGCACCTTCTCCAGCAGGTCGATGAGGTCGGTGCAGGCGTCCGACGTGCAGCCCTTGGCCAGCTCCGTGAGCGCGCGCGCGGCCGCGGCGCGCAGCGACACCTCGGCGTCCAGCGCGCACGAGCTCAGCACCGGGATGGCCACCAGCTCGATCAGCTCCTCGCCGTACAGGTAGCGGTGCCGTCGGATGAAGCCCATCAGCTCCTGCAACGCGTGCAGGCGCACGGCGCGCCGCGCCTCCTGGCGCACGTAGCGCTCCGCCAGCGCCAGCGCCGCGGCCACCCACTCGGCGCCCGGGGGCGCTAGCGCCGCCGCGCGGGCGCTCACCAGCCGCATGGTGGACGCCTCCTGCATCAGGCGGACAGTGAGTGACACGCGGCGCGGGGCGGGGGGGGCGGCGCGGGGCGGGGCGGCACTGACCGGGCGCTCGTGTCCGCAGGCGTCCAGCAGCTCCAGCAGCGCGTCCGGGTCGCCGCGGTACTGGCCGGCGTCCTGCAGCTGCTCGATGCTCGTGATGAGCGCGTGCACGCCGTCGTGGATGAGCTCGTTGGGCGGCTCGTAGTGGCCTGAAACACGCGGGCGGTGAGCGGGGCGGGCGCGGGCGGGGCGGGCGGGGCGGGCGGCGGACAGACACGCACGGTCCTGCTGCAGCACGCGGCGCACGATGGCCAGCAGCACGTCCCAGGCGGGCTCGCAGAGCTCGAGCGGCGCGCGCGCGACGACCCCGTGCAGGCTGACCACGACCTCGTACGTCACCACCGGCTGGTCGCCCTCCAGCGCCTGCGCACGCAAACACGACTATAACGATCGCATATTTTAAAAAATACATCCTTTAGGGGTCCCATTTGGGTAATGTTTATTCGAGTTGTGACATTTCATTAACAGTAAACGTGTAAGATGAACTTTATTATTTTCCTACCTTGGTCCATTGTTTGCGTAATATCTTTGGCATTAGTCCAGCTATGTTGAGTCATAGTCAATTTTTATTTACTAGCTGCTGCCCGCGACTTCATCCGCATACAATATGAATTTTAGGACATAACTTATTGGTTATTTTCGTTTACAAAATAAAAATAAAAAAGTAGAGTATTTTATCCCTTCGTACATCAGCTACTTGCCAATAAGTCTTGCAAAATCGGTCTAGCCATTCCAGAGATTAGCCAATACAAACAGGCAGACAACATTTTTAAAAATGTTATGTGTATAATGTGTATATTCATATGCATGTCGTAGAAACAATTTTAATTTTACAGACACTTTTACAGACCAGTTTTATTTATATGTATAGACATATAGATATATAAATGTAAGTAATACATTTATAAGACATGCAAGAGTTACAACTAATGAAAGCAATAAAAATACCAATATGCACAGGTATCAGGGAGCCCATAAATGAATGTGGAGGGAGTACTGGACGACTACAACAAAATTAATTACATAATAAAGGCTACATGTAAAAACAAATAGAACACAAAAATACAGACCATGCAGACAATTTGATTTGCAAATGATTTTTATTCTTAGAACTAGCGACCCGCCCCGGCTTCGCACGGGTGCAATATGTATATACATACAAACCTTCCTTAAGAATCACTCTATCTATTAAAAAAAACCGCATCAAAATCCGTTGCGTAGTTTTAAAGATCTAAGCATACATACGGACATACAGCGAAAGCGACTTTGTTTTATACTATGTAGTGATGTCTATTGCTGCTTCAAAGTTTGAGATTTAAGTCCTTGTTTGCCGAATTCACACAAGGTGCAAACGGGTCGAGGTCACCTCACTAGTATGTGTAGTGTCTAGCGCGCACTATGTTCTGCCGACAGTTACATGAGGAACGGGACACGTGGCAACGTGGATTCAATCGAAATATTTTACTACGCACAGTACGCACATAGAAGTTGATGTTTGATAGTAGTTCAGGACTATCTATACTGCCATTGAGGACTTGCAACAAGAATAAACAATCTGCAATGTGGATCTACCAGTGGCAACAGACTAGTAATAATTATGTCCTACAGAGTTTAGGATAAAACTTGTAAAAAATTCCATCTGTTCTATGAATTTGGAATCATTACGTCACCACTATCATTGTATATTGTTGACAACAACTAATAAACCAACTAATGAAGTAAGATATATAAATAAATAAATAAAAAATATATAATTAAGAAAAGAAAATTACGTCAAGCGCGTTCTTTTAATAACTGTTCATGTCCGCCTATTCCTTTGTTCGACAAAATTGTTGGGAATGGTCTGTTCCATGACTCGAAGTAATCGATGCTCTAATAACAAATCGCCCTGTACTATACTTCAACTCCAAAACTAAGATTACATTTATGTGGGAGAGACATGCTTCGACACGAATGGGCCGACTCGACCGGAGTGATACCACGGCCTTAAAGAAAACCGACGTGAAGCAACGCTTGCGTTGTGTTTCGTCGTTTGAGTGAGGTTACCGGAGGCCCAATTACCCTCCTCTTCTCCAATCTCTCCAATTCCTGAATCCCCAACGATCCTTAAACTCCTAATCCCCAAAAGGCTGGTAACGCACTTGTAATGCCTTTGGTATTCCAGGTGTCCATGGGCGATGCCGATTGCTTACCATCAGGTGATCCGTCTGCTCGTTTACCGATCACACATCACTGGATCACATTGAATATTTGTGAATGTTTGCGTTAGATTGTGTATATGGCCATCGTACGGGAGGGACTGCCAGTCATTGAAATATTTCAGTGTTCATTTGAAACCGAGTTCACTTTATGAGTTTGATCCAGTTTTATAAATACAGAATAATTTGGCGGCCGACCTTCAGGAAGGCGGGCAGCACGGCGAGGTAGGAGACGCGCAGCGTGGGCACGCGGCGCGGCCCCCAGAGCGCCATGTTGACGTAGAACACGGCGCCGCGCTGCAGCCCCGCCTCGTCGCCGCCCGCGCGCAGCAGCGCCACCAGCTGCGCCAGCGCCGCGTGGCCCATGTCGGCGCCCAGCACGCTGCGCATGAGCTTCCAGCTGGGCTGGCAGTGCTGCTCCAGGTTGACGGTGCGGCACAGCGCCGCCACGAAGGCGCGGTGCGCGGCGCGCGGCACCATGGAGTACGCCACCACGGCCTCCAGCAGCGCCAGCGCGGCCGCCACCACGCCGGCCTCCGCGCTGTACGCCATCACCTGGCACGCGCAGCTGCAAGCAAACGTCCTGCTACGGCACCGGCGGCCACGGCCCGGCGGCCACGTGGCGATGGATACCTACTCGACGATCCCGTGTACGATGTGCTCGTCTAAATAAGTGGCGTTGTACTTGACGACGTTAATGATGAGCTGCAGGAACTCCACCAGCTGCGAGGCGGGCTGCACCTGCGGCAGCCACTCCAGCAGGAACGGTCCGATCTGTGGACACGAGCACTAACTTACACAAAGTATACGCACGAGTGCCGCCGCGTGCCCGCGACCTCGTGCGCGTACAATGCTCATGTATCGTGCGAGTGTACCAACTGGCAGAGTTACACTCATGTAGTGTGTCGCGGATTGCTGCTCGTAAATATGAGCCTCTAGTAGGGCTTGAAACTGGTCGAGTTCCTCGTCAAACAGTTAAATGAGTAAATATTATCACCATATTCACGTTATTGAGCTAAAGAAACCATACCTGCAGACCTCTAAGTTGAACCTGACAGAAACAGTTACTGTTGGTTAGCTACTAAGCCATGACCTTTGGTTACAAAAAATATGACTTCATTGAAAAACATACAATTTATAATAACAATATCTAATGTTCTGTACTTAAGTCATTTACTCACCTCTTCCTCAAAGCAGTTAATATTCTTTCCAGTGTTGGTGAGTGTGTGCAGCAATTTGAACCGTAGTTGAGTGTCTTCGGGACTATGGCGAGCATGAGTGTCCCGCAAATAATGAAACAAGATTGTGCGCATGATCTGCAGGTAGTCTGCCTGCCCCTCTGCCAGACACCGCAGGAACCACAGTGCAGCATGTCGAGCCTCCACATTGCTGTCTTCTAGCAGGTCTCTTGTCAATGACCAAAGCTTTTCAACTCCACCCTTTTGACAATCAAATATTGTTTGTGTCAACAGTCATGGTACTGCCACTAAACATTTAGCTATGTGTTTGTTAATTTGCCATCCACATATATTATTATTACATGTGTCTGCATCTAGTCCTCGGTAAAACCCAACCTCAAACTACCTACTTCTGGTGAGGTTTTTACATTTCTCCGCTTCATATAACATGTACTTAGCTATATCTATTAGTTCTATTGTCCCAATAATCAATAAAATTAACTGTTCCTAATTATGCCTATCCATAACTTAAATAACCAAGATAGAGTGTTGTGTGTTGTAAATGTGAGAGCCCTGTAATTAATTAAATCAAATTAGACTAGTAGATTGCATTTATGTCAGCTTGGAGTTGTCATGCTCACTCAAAGATCTCGTTGGCGGTGGCACGTGCATTGGATGGCTCGATTCCCTACAAAATGGTTGAGTTGGGCGGTGCTAGGGTTCGCAAAATGTTCGTGAATGGGCACCGTCGATTGGAACTGGTCAGCTCCAGACTGTATCTTTTTATTTTATTATCCTCAAGGTTATTTTCTTTTTCAGTCTTTCTGACTGGATTTAGGTGTTGCATTGTTCTCACATAATCGAACCAATAAAACTATGTAACTAGAGAATTGTATTGTAAACCTGATTGAAAAAGAGTAACCTATGGAGTTTCTTGCTCGTTCTTCTCCATAGGAATCTACGCTTTGGAATGAGCAACTAGCTTCACTTATAAATTTTTGTTGTTTGACATTCAAAAGTGCCATCCTGATCTAATTGAAATAAATGATTTTGACTTTGACTTTGAAAAGAGAATAAATCAGATGATAAATAGATAAATATTTGTGTCTGTAGGTCGCCAGAGTCATGTAAATTGCTTGTAACCATCTGGTTGAGGTATCTACCTCAAGAAGGAAACAAATGTAGACGAAAGACCGAGCGTAGTAATGTGGCAAAGGGACAAGTTAATAGAGGGTACTACAACAATAAACATTCAGTGTGGGACTCACCTCTTGAACTCTGATGTGGATCGCCTTCTCACCGACCTCCTTGAGCGCGCGCAGCCGTCGGTGCAGCGGCGCGTCTGCACTCAGCTCGCGCTCCAACTCTCCGCTCACTACCAGCTCATTGCGCGGCGGCAGCGGCGCTACACACATCAACAACACACACTCATCAACACTCGAACCTGGCAAGTCTTTCATTTTGTTACTTTGCCACTAGATCGAACCCAAAAACTCACCCGATGCACCTTTTTTGAAGAGCACTTTCAATTTGTCTTGTAGTGATCTATCTCTCGAATTCATTTTACGACGATGCCGGTATCGGTTTTGTTTTTATTATCTTCTCAAATTTAGGGGTAGGCGTTGCGATTACCTATTAATTAGAGATTGCGAATTAAAACTCATATTTATTAAAATAGTTCTCACTACCGCTCCTGGCTTTGCTATTCTATCCAGATTCACCGTGTTTGACAGCTTCCCAACCAAAGTACTTGTACCTACAGCTGACAGGTAGCTGTTCAATGCCATTTCAATGTAAAATCCTGAACGAAAATAATGGTTCGAAAATCGAGACTCATCTTGCTAGTTTCGGTTTAGTCATTAATCACTTGATATTTTTAAATAAAAAATAAATAAAAATAAAATATATTATAGTGTTTACTTCGGACAAGTGATACATCCGTAGGGGTGAGTAATTTTTTTTAGTGGCTTTTATTAAATAATGTCTAAATAGAGCGTCACAATAAAATAGCAACAAAAATGATGTTCCGCCTACGACAAAAATTCTCCCATTTATCTCCCATATTATATTTGGGTTTATACCAGACCATTTAAAAGGAAAATAAAAAAAATGTCACAATCTCGATTTTCATTTTTTTTTATTGGACCCTGTTGATATTTATGTTTCGTCATACATGGAATTTATTTTCCGTATGAAAATAATACTTAAATATCATATTAAGACATTTTTCACATTATTTGTATCACACCCATTTATAAAATATTATTGCAATTCCGGTCCGCCGGTGGCCTGTGTTGCTCTATGAATGGAACTCTTTCCATCAAAAATCGATTTAACTTGGATCGATTCGAATTAAAAAGAAAGATCGAATCCAACTTTTTTTTAAGTGAGTTAGAATAAATAAAGTCGATGTCAAAGCATTTATTTCAATTAAACCTTATTTTGGTACTTTTAAAACGTCAACAAATACAAATTAAATAATAGTCTGTCAGTCAGTCCGTCAGTGAAGCTAGGTGCATCCCTTATACTTATTATACTCTTTGCTAGGTGCTCATTCCAAAATCTAGATTCGAATGGAGAAGAACGAGCAAGAAACTCCATTCGTTATTCTTTTTAAAAAAGGATGTTCTAATGTCTCTGATACAATACTGTACGTAAGTTTAATGTAAGAACAATGCAAAGACACGCTTGAAGCATTATACTAATTACAAAACTTACTAACACAAAAAAATAAACATCCTAAGTATAGTCTAACATGGTGCTCACATATGCTTAGTGACAATTAATCATAAAAATAGTGCTTCTATACAAGAAAAAGGAAACTCATACTCATTTCAATAAAGAAAGAAATGCTCGATCGTTGCCATAAGGAAACTGGATTATCTACATTAGATTGAAAGTATTAAATTACCTACTATTGGAATCTAATTACTGACTACATTTTGAGTACCTATTGTCCAGTGGAGCCGAACCAACATGCTGCGAAGCATTCTTATCTTCAAGATAATCTGTCAGTGTGTAGTAAGCTTGATTACATAATTCGCGCTTAATATATGTTTTTTTACTTTCATTGAGACCTAGTATGCCATTTGGTATTTTATTATAGCATTTAATAATTAACCCCATAAAAGATTTTTGTACCTTGGACATTGAATTGCGGTATAGCTAACTTATTTTTGCCTATTTTTCCTTACATACATTATATTTTCATATATATATTGACAGGGCACCGTTAAAATATTTATCGTTTTAAATAATTCTCTCAGCGATTCGCAACGGCGTAAGTTATATATTGCTCGGATAGCCCGCTTTTGTAGAATAAATATTGATTCTGTCTCTGTAGCTCGACCCCCCAACAAAATGCCGTACGACATAATGCTGTGTTAGACCTCGCCATACATTTTTCAGGTGCGGAAATCTTCGTAAATAAACAGTTTCTGCAGAAGAAAAGGAACTATAATGAGACTTTATAATGTATTATGTTTGTGTATAGCCCAAATTTTATTAAAAAATTGTATTTCTAGGAGAATTAGACCGAATAAAAAACGATAAGTCTTTGCATGTGTGAGTGACCTGAATCGCGCCATCTGATAGAAATTTATAGAACCACCGAGAAATTTGGTTGCTGTTGTGTTCCGAGTTTACAATTGGTAAACATTCATAATAGATGGCGCTGTCCGATAATTCGAACAAGCATCAATGTGACGTGACGCGTGCGGGAATGCGACGTTGCCGTTCAAGAAGCAGCGCGTGCGCTGTTGCCATTCCGTCCATGCGTGATGTCTTGAATCTTGACAACTTGCGAATCATTTCCAGAATATTGTGTTTCTAGCAAGTTAGCACCGGGCGCGCGGGTTTACCCACGGAGTTAACATTAACGATTGATAAAATGTTTTTTATAATGGGATGAGAATTAATGCTTTACATAAAGTGAAAAAAATATCTCTGCGATGTGTCCTTGGTCTGGTGAGGACCTGCGTCAACCGATAGGTCAGGACGCCGTGATTGCAGCCTGCCTGTACTAGTACACACTAACATTCCTTGACTGCAGATTCAAAAATCTTTGTAATGTATGTAAGTAGATACTGATAACACATTTTCTGATACTCTTAGGTACTAATCCATTGGTTTGGGTTGAATAAAATCAGAGAATAGAATTTGATGTATAAGTAAGTTATAAATCAGGTGATTAGCGAAGCTACCTACACAATAATGAAACGTAGGTACTACGTACATCTATTGATTAAATCATATTTAAATCATGTGAAACCAGCAACATTAGTGAATATACAGACAAACCATTTAAATTTTTCTTAATTGCTTATTTTACTAGTATTATTAGCATGTATACACATACACAAAGTGCGTCAAGCAGGGTTGCCAACTTTATTTTTTTGGAAGATTGTACCATACATTTTAAAAGATCGTACTTTGAATTAAAAAATAAATGGCAATAGAATGTGGTATTACTATAACTTCAACGCAAAATTTAACCTTTTGGTATAATATTTAAGAATCCGTACACCAATTTAGCAACGAAACTTTACTACGAGCTTTATTTACTAAAGAAAAGGGGCTCGGAAGAGACTTTGTCATGAAATCCACACGAAACAATAAACACCAGTATCATTACAACTTAAACGGGATATTTACCATGTTTATTATTACTTAAAAAAAATATATTAATAAACACTAGTACATATAACAACAAGTACGGATACTTGTATTATAATGTTTCTTAATGCTTCTTACTCGAATTTTCTTGATTATTAAAGATTCAAATTAAAAGATGTTTTATTTCACACTGAAGAATGTTAGCACAGTATTTTAGCATAGTTTTATAGTATTTAGAATAATTTTGACATTTTAATTCAGTAGCAGTCTCCCAGATTTTGTATTAGTCGTGTTGGCAATTGGCAACACTGCTTAATAGAACTTGACTGCACTTGACAACTTGATGGTGGTGTTAGATTAGATCTGCTATTACAAATTTCTTGAAACATTTCATAAATAAGATACATTTGATGTTGAGATTGAATTGCAACTGAACTGCCTAAAATGAACCCGACTAATAAACTTGCGTGTATACGACATACTATGTATTCAGGGCCGCAAAATTCAAGGAAAAAGGTGCAAGCCGCATTCATAAGACATCATGAAAGTTCTTTTAGTGATCTATAGTGAAGAAATCAGATTACTATAGGATTTCAAATCAGATTTACGTGAGTGAAGTTTATTTGATACTCATTGGTTTATGTTCTAGAAAAGGTCGTTATGCTCGATAAGGTTAGTACCTATTATGTATTGAGAAAGTTTTAACAAATTGCAGAATAATGATTGTCACTTTGTTCATTTTAGGTATGCAAACGTCGTATTGCCACGGTCAGAGCGTAGCAAAGGGTGTGCAAGGAGTTTAGGACTTTATTTTTCATTTTCATCAAGAATGAAAATTCTTATAAATGGCTAGTTTTTCATTTTCACTGATTAGTATACCTAATAATAAAGCGAAAATCATTTGGACACCTTTTATCTAGGCCTTATGAGGGTCACAGTTCTAACCTAACCTAACCAAATGTGTTGGGGTGCCCAAAAAGTGTTTTACATACTCCCCCAACTGACCTTTAGGGCTCAATTTCAGGCGAACCTGAAGTAGATAAAAAGTGCCCAGATAATAGTCATCTTATTTTTAGGTATACTAAACGATAGAAATGAAAAACCGAGCCACTTATAAGAATTATCATTTTTGATGAAAAAATAATTAAAAGTCCTAAACTCCTTGCACACCCTTTGCTACACTCCAACCAATGCCACACCATGTCACAATCATGTGAAATGCATTCTCTATAAAAATAATATTTGTACTAAAGATATGATGTATGGAAAACAAAATGAACATGTTGCATAGAGCATGTTTATGCAATAATATGGCAAATAGTCAGGCCATCAGGACTTTTCATTAATGAAGAATTTGGATTCTTAGTAGCTAGCCCTGATGGTAAAATTATTCGATAATAAAAATATACAAATAACTAGTTTTTGTCGCGTGAATATTTTAAATAGGGTTCAGTAGCGTAAGCCTAAAAACTTTTCTTTTTTACAGATATTCAAAATATTCGATAAGCATCAGAAAATAGAAATTTTCCTATTCATTTGGAAAATGATGTTTTAGTTATGAACAAAAAGCATAACTACTATTATCAAGTAAGTATATCATTATTATCAAATATCATTATTATTATTTCATTATTATCAAATATCATTATTTCTTGGTATGTGTGTATAAAAATAATGTATTTCTTGATGTTTCTTTTTTAACAGCTATTATTATTTTGATTCTAGGTCCAGGGTCAATTGCGAATTACCAAAATGAATAAATGTTACTTCATTTGCTATATATCAGTCACCCAACCATTGACTGTCATAGAAGTTAACCAGAATGAGGAATTTATCAGTACTATGATGCCGAAGTTGGTGACAGTTTTTAAAAGTAAAATAATTTCCGGCAGTACACACTGCCGGAAATTATTTTGAGAAGAGTTGAGAAAAATGCTAAATGTCTGGACATCAAGGAATTAAAAGGTATAAAAATATAAGTCTTATTCATTTCCTAACTTATTTCTCAGGGCTCTGAGGTGTGGGTTCAGTAAGAATAGTCTAACAAAACTGTGTAAATTCATTTGTTGCAGCGAAAACTGCGTCTTCCAGCATTTGATTCAGATTGCACGGAAATTATAAATGGAAGTAAAAAGCGATAAACAGAAGACTGATATGGCGCGGCGGTGGCGGCGGTGACTGCAAAAAGAAGATATTTTATTATAATATATATAAGAATCTTTGTATGGTGGTACGAGTTGATTGTTCGAATCCAGCCGGCACTTTGCTTTGTGTAGCCTGATTCTCAGCAGTGTGAACATTATAGAATAATTAATAAGCTATTTTTGCACGTAGCTATGTAAGTTTGTGTTATTTTGTTAGTCCATAAGATTTTTCTGTGTAGATAAGTTTGCCTCATGCATTTAGGTACCAGCCTAACAATTCAATTGTAAAACAATATTTATTGAAGTTCAAAATTGTAAAATAAATAGGTATTCTTGAAACATAAATAAATGTTATGGTTAGCTAGCAACCACTTGTGCGATGTATAGTTTGTGTTATTTTGTTAGTCCATAAGATTTTTCTGTGTATATAAGTTTGCCTCATGCTCACAAATGGTACCAGCCTAACAATTCAATTGTAAAACATTATTTATTTAAGTTCAAAATTGTATAATAAACATGTATTCTTGAAACATAAATAAATGTTATGGTTAGCTAGCAACCACTTGTTGTTGGTTTTATGACTGTAATGTTATACTAATTAATTGAAATAAATAAATGTAAGATACTTGCAAACTTACATGTGCCGTTATATATACTTATGATGTTATTTATATTGTGATCTACATACATAATAATTCTTTCTAATACTAAATTTAAAATTATAAAACTAAGTAAATATCAAAACAATTAAAAAATTATGTTATCTTTGTATGGTGGTATGACTCCATGGTTTGAATTCAGATGGAAACTATCTAAGTAAATGTAGTGAGAGTAAATAAAACGATTATTTTATGAAAATGTTAACTTAGTTTTACTAAATAAATATTATTAATTTATAGTAAGGTACAATAAAAAGCTTTACAATGGAATAAATAGTCTTTCATTTATTTATTTAGTAAAGTCACTATTTACACATTACAATTTAGGTTCAGTCACATTACAACAATTTTTTAGGTGTAGGGTCTTTTTTTTTTTTAAGGGGGGAAAATCATCGAATGACTGCTCCCGCCTGGGTGAGGCGGAAGGGAGTGTCAGACTCTTACTGACTAAAAACCACCCCGTTCCTTTTCCTGCACGTCGAGCCGGAGCCCCGGTTACCCGTTAGGTTCTCCGCGACAGGTGTAGGGTCTAGGGGTATAGTATATAGTGTACAGTGTAGGTACCTATTTTACCTAAAATAAATTTTATGAATAATTTGCTAGATATCGAGTCTAGAAACAAAAGTATACTTAGACCAATTATTATACTAATAAGAAATAGATGGGAACATAATTTCAAGTATGTAAATTAATATTTTTATAGTATAACGACATCTGGTGGTGTCGAAAGTTACTACTATTTACTTTGCATGTGTGTGTAAACAGTAAAGTGAAGCGGCTAAATCTTTATTTTGTAGTAATCTTTGTATGAGACCAGATAACAAGCACAACGACTATCTAAAAAATCAAGTTAATGCCCTAGGTTTCGCGAACAATAAAGTTATCTATTAAAGATTTCGAAGTTAGGCGTAAAACGTGAAAATGTTCCAAATTGTGGAAGTTACGCCATCTAGCGACAAAATGGCATTTGAGATCATCATCCATCCACCTTAATGATTAAATACTCTGAGAATCGGGACAATACTTATTATAGTCTTTGGGGACAACCATGACAACCATGGGACAACCTGTATATCGTCAAAATAGTGCCAAGTACATAGATACTTACTTAGTTTGACCAATGTTTATGAAGTTGTCACATTTTTGAAATGAATTTAAAAGTACTTATATATAGGGCGAGAGTTAGAGGAGTCCCGGTGTATTGTTGTTTCTTGTTATTGTTATATGTGTTGTACAAGCAGTTTTTTTACCCAAAGTTGGAGTACTCTGATTATGTTCCGAAACACCTACAGCAATATGTCGAGTTTAATGAAAAATTCATGTTCCCACCTCGTGAGCTGCAGAGCGCAGAGCTCAGCGAGTTAGCCAGCACCATCGAACTGCTGAACTACGAGCGCACAGTGTTACAGACACAAAAGTACGGCACAGTGACCAGCAAGACGAACATGCTAGTGGTACAGGTGCACCGTGACGTGGAGCGGTTGCAGTACCTGATCGTGTCGTTGGCGCAGGTTCGTGATATCGAGTCCGTTCTGCTTGTCTTCTCACACAGTTATTATGACGACAGAATCAACAAACTAGTATCCAGCATCACGTTCTGTAGGTCCATGCAGATATTTTATCCTTACTCGCTTCAGCTGTATCCAAACAAGTTCCCGGGCATAGACCCCGATGACTGTGTGAGTGCAGCCGGGAGGAGGAAACAGTTTTGTAGCAGCCGCGACGGCCGCCTCACGGAGCACAAGCATCACTGGTGGTGGAAAGTTAATTTCATCTTCAACAATCTCGACTGGTCCGATACATTCAAAGGCACTGTCGTTTTCTTACAAGAAGACGATTACGTTTTGCCAGATTTAGTGCATATGCTGCGGTTTATGACGCGGTCGCAGGCCTACCTTCCAGGACTCCACCTACTGTCCTTTGGAAGGCCACACGCAAAAGGTTTAGATTTTGACTTACTTTCAGTGTCCTCGTGGCATCCTCCCTTTGACAAAGGTCTGGCGTTTAATAAGAGCTTGTGGCAGAAGATAAGTGCAGTTTCTTCGTATTACTGCTTATATGACGATCTCAGTTGGGGCTACTCGCTGCTCAACGCTTTTAGAAAGTTCAATGAGGGACATGTGGATATGGTGGCCACTCTGATGCCACGTGTGCTGTCCACCAGCACATTCCCTAGCGGGCGCGCGGCCATGCAACAAATTGCAATGTGGCTAGTTGGCGCCAGGATGTTTCCTTTGAATGTAAAGGCAGTAATGCTGTACAGTAGTACCGGCCGAGTGAACGCAGGTGTGAAGCCTCCTCCCTGGGGCAACGGAGGCTGGAGTGACTTGCGGGACCACCTGCTCTGCCTGGACCCCCTCATGTCCACAACTACTGGCAACACAAACGACATGACTGCACCCACCTTCTCGCAGACCACCACCAATGCAACTGATTACATTACTGTCGCTAAACACAAAATGAATATGTCAGAAGCCGACCTACATAATGTGAATTTTAATTAGCCTCACCTAAGTATAAACTGTCAATGAGGCCTGCGGCATACAAAGTCCGTTGTCTATCCATAAGTACCAGGGCCCGAGCCAGCTACCTATTTGGCCGCTTCAGCCAAAACAATATTTGCCGCCTTTTGGGCAAAATAATGGATCTATGGAATAACGCGATACAATATATAACGATATATGGAATAAATTATTATGTCACTTTAATGTGCACTTGGGGTGATGTGGGTGAGGACCCTAACCCTGATTATAGGGGTTGCCTCGAATGTTGTCCGGGAGTGTCGAAAATTGGCAATTTTTTAGATTTTTACGTATCATTCCGATATCCATTTGCAACATCGTACGTGCTACGCTCGTTTCGCAATCTTAAAAAAAGGCGGCTTCTTAAAAAAAAAAGATAAACGTTGTCTACAATTTTGGATAATTCATACTTAGACAGCTTTTTATAAAAAAATACGCCAGAGCACCGCAAAGTAAGTTTCAATGAGCATTTACGAGAAAAATTAAATTCCATACCACGTGAAGAAGCGGCGTATTTTTTTTTTATAGTGTAGCCCTATATAGGCCTTCACGTGTGGTTGCGAATATTTTTGAAACTTGGTATAGTTAATCTCCTGGCCATAACTGTTTCCGATGATCCAGAAGTCGCGATTTCATCATCATGGATCATCCCAAAACAGGGTAGGAAGGGTAGGAAATTACGACTGCCTCGTTGGCCGAGCGGTCGCAAGTGCGACTGCCGGGCAAGGGGTCTCGGGTTCGATTCCCGGGTCGGGCAAAGTATTACTGGGTTTTTGAAAAATTCTCAGTAGTAGCACGGAGTCTGGAATTGTGCCCGGTATATGGCAATAGGCTCACCCCCTATTACATGGGACTCATAACATAAATAGTGAAAAGTGGGTGTTACATTGTACAGTGGCATAATGTGCACCTCTGCCTACCCCTTCGGGGATAAAAGGCGTGATGTTATGTTATGTTATGAGTGTGTACGGCAGTAAGTACAGTCGCGGCGCGTTAGCGATGCATTCGCTGCCGTTTCCAAACCGCTAGTATGATAGCCCTTTGGCCTTATAAGGACTACACTATAAAAAATGCACCGCTTGCTCTACCTCAGCGTGATGTGAATTTATTTTTCTTTCATAAATGCACATTAATTAACATTTGCAGTGCTCTGGCGCTAAAACTACTTATTTTACAAAAAGCTGTCTACATGTGTAGACAGCTTTTACTAACCTAACCTAACTTGTACAAAATAGTGAGTACATAGGTATTATAATTTTGTAGTCAACGTTTTTCTTGTAAAATGCATAGGAAAAGTAAAAAACTGTTAGCGGCTATTTTTTCAAAATAAGGGCGCGAGTGGCCCACGTACGATTATCAATTGCAAAATGTAAATCGGAATGATTACATGAAATTCTAGAAAATTGTCAATTTTCAACATTCCTGGCAAAACTACGTACCTAATTACTGCAGTAGGTAATACTAATAGTAGGTAATATATTGTTTTAACAACTTTGGTGTAGTTTTTTTTTAACCATCTTTCTTTCCGTTACTTTTATTCTATTTCAAGTGAGAGTTTATTTTCCGTTAACGCGATCAAAACATTATCGTGTTTAGCTCGCCATTTTGTTGGTTGAGTGGAACAGTCCAGTCGTTGCGCCGAACGTCATACTTATAAACTTATCGATTGAGTTAACGTAAGACAAACTTCATTAGGCCCTCAGAACCAGACGCACATTCAGTTCAAAAGAGTGACCGTCACAGTGAGTGCGGGCATGTATTCATCATAGGTAAGGTCACTTTGAACAAAGTTTTGCAAATAAAATAAAAAATGCGTTTAAAAAACCGACTTCAAAAAACCAAAAATTAATAACAAACAAAATGTCAAAACTAAAAAGCAAAAAATAACTATTACTGATAGGTTAATTTTTGGTTTTTTGAAGTCGGTTTTTTAAACGCAGTTTTTATTTTATCATTTTCAGTGTAAAGCTACATATACCCGTTTTGTTACTTATAATATAAATAGGTGCAAAGTCATCATCAGTACAAATTAATCAAGCCCAAACACAAGGTAGTTACTGTATACCGTTAAGGAGTTCCCTTAACAATTACACTTCTTCATCATCAGCCCCTTAATGACAGCCCCACTCTATCTAGGTGTAAAGTCCTCATCAATACAAATTAATCAAGCCTAAACACAAGGTAGTTATTGTATACCGTTAAGGAGTTCCCTTAACAATTACACTTCTTCATCATCAGACCCTTAATGACAGCCCCACTCTATCTAGGTGTAAAGTCCTCATCAATACAAATTAATCAAGCCCAAACACAAGGTAGTTAATTTGAACCGCTGAGGAGTTCCCTCGACTGTCTGTCGACTCCATCATCAGGTCGACTCCAGACCCTTATCAAATTGTAGTGTTTTAAAATCGTAATCGAAAAACATAATAGACGCATTACTCTCCCATAGAATTTTCGAAAGTTCCCCTCGGTTTCCCTAGGATCCCATCATCAGATCCTGACCTCATGGAAATGGGACCATCTCGGGAGTATACCCTTTCAAACAAAACAAGAATTTTGCAAATCGCTTTACGCATCTCAGAGTTATGCGCGTACATACATACAAAAAAAATAAAGCATCATACCGGCCGAACGTATAACCTCTTCCTTTTTTGAAGTCGGTTAATAATGATGTTTTTGAAATTGCTCGTTTTCTTATACACTTTACTTGTCATCAAGTTATTAATTCAGTTTTGAGAATTTTATAAATATTTTAGTATTTTTGGGGAGCTCATAAACCAATGAAGTTTTTCTAATATTTTGTACGCTTAGAGTAATATTAAATCTAATTTGCAGATGTACAACAAAATTGAATCAATATTCTTCTTAATATCACTAATCGTGGATGTACCTACACTATACTGAGCAGCTAACTTACGACCGGTTTCTCCTTTTTTTAATGAATCAATAATATTTTTTTGTCTTTAAGCGATAATACCACTTTGTTACGTTTTGACATTTTTAAATATTTAGACGTGATACAAGTCAGACGGAGGAATAACAGCTTTTTTTTTTAAGGTGTGAAAGTCATCGAATGACTGCTCCCGCCTGGGTGAGGCGGAAGGGAGTGTCAGACTCTTACTGACTAAAAACCACCCCGTTCCTTCTCCTGCACGTCGAGCCGGAGCCCCGGTTACCCGTTAGGTTCTCCGCGACTCCGAATCGGCATCGGCCCTATTGGGCCCCATCTGTGGTGGTCTGATGGCTCTTTGAGGCGCGCGCGGAACGCGACGCACCGTACGCTCGGGTCTGTTTCTGGTCGGACGGGGAATGGGGTCGGGGATGTTCGCCGTCCGCAGGCCCGCGCTTACGGTGGCCGGAGATCGTCCCGCGATCCCCGACGCCGGTTGCGAGGAGGCAGCGCTTCGCTGCCTCACGCGTCCCGCCTCCTCCTTAGCTAGCATGACTGCTTCGCAAAAGGAGGAGACGGCATTCCAATCCCCCTCGCTCCGCATCATGGCCTGCACTAGGCCCGGACGCGAGAGGTCGCCATCGCCGACCACTTCCCTGAGGGCACGGCGGCGCTCAGCCCACGCAGGGCATTCTCCTGTGTGTTCCACCGTGTCCTCAGGGCGGTCCTCGCAGTGATGACACCCGGGCGTTTCCTCCCGCCCCATCAGACACAGGTACCTCCCGAAACTTCCATGTTCGGTGAGGACCTGCGTCAGGCGGTAGGTGAGGACGCCGTAGCGTCTCTCAAGCCATTCCTCAAAGAGAGGACTTACCGCTGCGATGGCAGCAAGCCCAAGCGCCGCCGCCTTGGGAGTTGCCAGTGCCATTGATCGCGATAATTGTTTTGTGCTATGTACCTACTTGTGCTCAGACGAATTTACTATGGATCGGACAGAGAGAGCCGCGTCGACAGTAGAGTTTCCTACAGTGAAACCAAATTGATTGCTGTGGTATTTTGGTCCACCTGGCAGTAAACGAGGAACGATAAGTCGCTCACGCAATTTCCCTAAAGATGGTAAAAGCGTGGTGATAGGTCGGTATGACTTAGGGTCATCGGGGGGTTTGTTTCCATAATTGGGGATTAGTATGCGAATGAATACACACACATGATAACACAATACACGAGGAAAGACACCTACCCCGATATAACGGTTGAATACAGTTAGGATCGCATCAGCCACGGATTTACATGCTTCTATTATCATTATTTGAGATCTTGTCTTCACCAGATGATTTATTCAAAGGCAAAGTTTTAAAGTTCTTCCACCAGGAGTCAATGGCAAAAGTATAATACTTTATTAGATATTTGGACGGCTACCACTAATCGACCCACCATGGGTACCACAGCTGACGCTCATGAAGCTTCCTGACACAACTTCTAGAAGCATCCCACAAATTATCGACTGAGAGAAAATAGGTAATAAAAATTAGTGCCTGGCAATATGAATTTATTGTGGTGTGATACGGTGTTCCTGTGTCCCGGCGTGAAATTTGAAGTTAGGAATTGTGACAAAAATATGAATAATTTGAATAAAGTAAAAGATTTGACTCCAGCTCCTTTCAACGCTCAGACTGAGATTTCTATATATGAGTCCATAGACAATTTCGTTTGTAATGTCATTCTAGTTAATATTTTCCATAAATCATCGACTGCCGCCAAAAAAAAGGCATCAATTTTAGTCAATGCCCTTTATGGAATGATTTTCAATGGGTTAAAACCTTGATAGATACCTTACATTATTAAGCTGCTTACAATTTTATTATGGATTAATATACCTGTGACCATTACCTAAGATATATTTTGTTATGGGTATAGATGAGTGTGGATTATTTGTATTTGTAGTAAAATGCAATAATTTTGTATATTTTTTTATTTTATAAGTCTAGTCACATTACTTCACTTCCTTAACCTGGAGACCTGCAACAAACAAATTTGTGTATTTAACAAACTGCAGCACACTAGACTGCTTTACTTTCCTGTGTACATATTT